TCTTGCTTGACGCGCTTGGCGTTGCACTCGTCTTTGTGTCTTGAAGCTGCCGTGCTTGAAGTTCGGGTTCTGTTCCAAGAAGCGAGCTCCGTCGTTGTTGCAGTGCTTTGCAAGGCAAACCATTATCGGTGATACATGACAAGGGACTACATACCGGCTCCAGGTCCGCGCCTAGAATAGCCCGTCTATAGTCATCGAGTAAAGCTGAACTACGCGGCTGAGTCTTGTAATCAATGTACTCTGCGATGGTTCTCGCGCCCATCGATGGCATGCTTACGGGTACACGGTCGTCGAGGAAGAGCAGCGACTCTTAGTCGCCGCGGAGCAGGCAGTACTCGGCCAAACCGTTCCACACTTTTTCGTACGCTGCAGCTGTGGTGGAGGGCTGGCCCGTCTGGAACATGTTGACCTCGCCCGGTCTCATAGAGAGCGAGTACTTCACAAGCGCGGCGGCGCGCCCGGCTACTGTCAGCCTTTCGAGGCGCGCGCGCCGTCCTGGAGCCACCTTGAGAACCCGAGCGCGCATGCGCGCCCGCTCTTGTTCGCGACGCGGGTGGTCGTGCGCTTTGCTGCCGGCGCGCGCGCTTTTGATACTCGAGCCTTCCGTGCCACGGGCCTGACGCACCAAACGTTGTCTCGCCATTGAAGGATGTAAAGTGACCTTTGCCAACCACCGAAGATCCAACGGACGAAACGATCCATGCGAAACTGCTACTGTAACTAGATCCCAACCGGACATTATCCGGATCCTGTCACATTTTTGGCGGTTGGTAGGGGTCTGGGAGGGATGGTAGAGGAATTATTTTTAGCGCAGATAGTGCCCATGGTAGAATTGGTATTGCGAGTGTTTGGTGTATGTACTAGTACATTTGATGACCGTACATTTGCCAACAAGTTAGCGATTATTACTACATAGGCTACGGGCAACATCAATCCTAGGATCAGTATAGTCGAGTGGGTGCTTGGCGCGCGCCATGTTCAGCACTATCCTATCATCAGCGAGGCGATGGTCACAGCCAGCATCATCCCATGGCCACGTGCATGGCGGAAAAACGCCTGGGCACTTGGCGTCGCACCATTTGATAAAATGAAAGCCTATTTTCGATTTACCCGATTTTCTTGTCGGTGCAACTATGCCATAACTCGAGCGACAGGCACGTCAACTATCGCGACCTTCTTCCATGGTCACTTGCATCTCTAGAGGAGCGCTTTGGCGCTCGACGTCGTCCACAAGTTGGAAAATGAGCAGTTTTCTATGTGGGCTCCCTGGCTAATCCAGCTACATGAAAAGACGACACTGTTGCGGCTAAATCAGAGTCCGGATGTGGTGCGGTGGTGCCCACGATGCCGCAGCATATCTGGGATTGGGTTGTGGCTCATGACTTGAGCTAAAGTCGCCGAGGCAGATGCCTGATCATGTCGATCGCAATCCCGGCATCAAGCGGCGAGGAGAGGGGCCATGCGGGGCGACGCGAGCTGTCCGGGCGCAAACATTTTTGCTACGTTGGAACGTGACGAGGGCAGTTGATGCGGACCACGTTGGCGCTAGCTGGGCCGCATGACCAAGACCGGCGCGCGTGCCGGAAACAATACCTGGGTAGCTGGGGAGGACACGTGTGAGCGATTAGACCAGTTGCAACCATTTCCGACAAGGCGACCACCTGCCGGAAGGGCTCCAACGTGAAGGCCGCGGAGTTGTTGAGGCAGATCATCACGGGCTTCGGGAATTTGCTCGAGTCAGGATCGCATTGTGTCATTTTGATTGGGCGCTGGTATTTCAGCCAATCGGCGCATCGCTACCATCATTCTGAAATTTGGGCGCAATTACTCACGTATTTTAATACGATCCACATACAAATGCCATGTCAGAAGAGATAAAAACACGCTCAAAAGCCACGTGGCATTTTTTGCATTGTATTACATTCTTCCATTTTCAGATTCGACCTCCCAAGACAGCATGGACCCTTCCAGCTACTTCACCCGCTCCGCGTGGAACATGGAAGCGCTCTTCAAGGCCAACGACATCAGCGTGCCTGTCCAGCAGCATCTCGTCCGTGTGTACACGGCGCTCGCGGCGACGCTCCTTGCCGCAGCCGCCGGCGTCGGCCTCGACATGGCGTACGACCTCGCGGGGATCACAACGGTGTGCGCCTCGGTCGGGTTCATCTTTGGCCTCTTCTTCGTTGAGAAGCACCTCGTGATGAAGCGCTTGGGCATGCTCATGGCCATCGCGACCTGCACGGGTATCAACATTGGCCCGCTCGTCGCGACTGCACTCAACGTCGACCCGGCGATTGTCGTCACTGCCTGGTACGTACTAGCAGCACCACGGAGCCCGTATGCGATGACTCACGCATCTCTCTTTTAGCTTGGCGACGACAGTGATCTTTCTTTGCTTCACCGGCAGCGCCTTGATCGGTACGCGACTCCTTCTTCAGCGAGTACGACGGGGCTCACGGTGCATGGGTCTAGAAAAGCGCCGATCGTACATGTACATGATGTCGTTCATCTCGTCGGCGACGATGGTCATGTCGCTCATTTCGCTCGTCAACATCTTCTCGCGCTCGATTGCCTTGTACAACGCCCACTTGGTACGACGAACTCGTTCCACTTTCGGGAATTCGCTCATGGCCTCTCTGCGCATGATTAGTACATGGGCCTCCTCGTCTTTTGCGCGTATGTGCTCTTTGATACGCAGATGATCATTGAGAAGGCGACGATGGGCGACATGGACTTCGTGCTCCATGCGCTCGACCTCTTCCTCGGTAACACGGTCGCCGACAATGGCAAGGGTACTCATGTTGCTTGCAGACTTTGTCAACATTTTCGTGCGCTTGGTCGTCATCCTTCTCCGCAACAAGGAACAGAAGGACAAGAAGCGCGAATCGCGCCGCTAATTGCCTAAAGCGCTGTCGCGCCGACATGCAAGACCTCAAGCTAGCTTCCATTCATAACACTATTTCAAGTACGAGCCTTGCAATGCGATGCGCTCGGCCGCTACGGCATGCAGCGTAACGATGTGTTGCTGAAGCATGCAGTTGCAGATTAGCGTACATCGCAAAGTCTCGTGGTGGGAGACTGCGACCTGATCTAGATCGCATGGCAAGCATGAGGCTACGCACGTCACGTTCAAGCCCGAGAACGAGTGTGGTGGCGGCAGGGCGAGTCGCGACAAAACTGCCATGCGCCTCGAGACCTCCGAGTTCTGGTCAACAGCGCCTTGTCCGGAAGTACTTTGCTGTATATTTATGAACGTGTTTCGCATTATCTTCGTTGTTACAAAGAGTTCGCATAGAGACTAGCAATCTCCTTCTTCTTCATTCACTCGCCAGGCCGTGGCTGCGCAGGCAACACCACAATAGGAAGCAATCCAATATTTACAGTACAACAAAGTACTGTGAATATTGGATTGCTTCCTATTGCGGTGTTGCGAGTCGACCGCTCATGCGCTCGAATTCAGCCAGTTTGCACGATGACAAAGACTCGAAGCGCCAACAGGTGGGGTGTGAGCACGCAGTGGTGGCGCACGTCGCCAAGCCCGTCACAAGCTCCAACGCGAAGCAGGCGCTTCGGCATCAGTAACTACGTTTCATCCTCGGCGGTCAGCGGTGCTCGGCAGTGGCATATTGATGTCAAGGCCAGCACCGACCAGGAGCGGCAGAGCCAAAAGGAAACAGTGTTCAAGCGCAGCTTCATCAGGTTTGCAAGCGGGCTATCCCCACAGGTGCGTGGACCGACAGTTAATCGGACTGAAAGACCCTCGGAAGTGCGTTTTATGAATTCGAACTTAATAGCAGAAACGCGAATCGGAGTGTCGAAATGGCTTTGCAGCTAAACCGCGGATGCCACGTGTCCATCATTCCTCACCGCTGGCCTGACCACGGTAAGAAAGTACGAAGGTGGTGTTTTGAATCACCCCGACCTGATGTTTTTCTTTCTTGTCCTATGAGGCGCAACGTCGACGTACTTGATCTTCTGCGCAATACCTCGACTTCTTCCCACTCATCCCGCCCAGTCGAATCGCGGCGGAGGTCGGGTTGGAGGGACGAATAAATGGACCACCGGACTACACGGCGATCGCTCTAGCGGACGAGAGTCAGACCCGTGTCTTGATTCGCATGTCGTTGAGCTGGTTGCGTCATGGAGTTGATATTTTCGATTTAATAGTAACGTGCATGCGGTGATTTGCAGCCTTGTTTCAATTCGCGACGCTTGACGGACTCTTCGGGCGTGTCCTCAGGGCCACTCGCGGGGTCGCAAGTGCCTGAGCTGACTTACTACACGTGGACAAAACGAGACCCTGCGAGCCAAGAAGATAGAAACGGCTACTCTATAATACATTCGGGTGCTGCAGCTCCAGGTCGGACCAGAGGTCGCATCCAAGTGGAGCTACGCAACACGGGTCTGGCTCACGGCCGCGAAAGCGCACGACGCGGCCCTGCGATGCATCGATTGGTCCCCCAACTCGTGCTCTGCCGAGGCTTGACTGTGCGGGAGTAGTGGGAGGAAATCATGAGCTGCGGAAGGATCAAGCAGCTTGGCGATAGACCACTTAAGAAAAGAAACCATAGTGGTCATTCCAGTTATACACCGCCTGGCCAGAAACTGCTCGTCTAAATGTATGAGAGGTATTTCCAACTCGAAGGTGCCGCGAAACGGGCTCCTCTAGAAGCAATTATTGGAACGATATGTAGAGCAAAGCTTATCGGAGCGCCTTTTGTAGTGAGGTACTAGTAAGGCTTCTCCCCACTCGTCGAGCTGCTTACTGCTTAAATGGCTGGGTAGTGCAAGGTATCGCACTTGAGGAAAGACTGGTCAATGATGCTGGACGTCACAGTGGTGGCGCAACCTCAGCTACATCGCGCAACTTGTCATACGATAGATTGAGAGATAACACACTGCTCAACACAGCTGCCGATGCCAACAAGGTCGGACGATGGACTTGCTGCCAGGTACTAGTATAACGTTACAGTGCTTCGTTTGCTGGCACTACGTGGCGCTATCGTCTCTACCACGAACGCTACTCGTATGTAGGGTCCGCTGCACTATTAATTTTCTTACGACTAAATGCGTGAACTGCATGAAAAGGGTTCCCTTACCCCTACATGTACATTCATGGCATGTCATGGGCTGGGGCCTACAGCGACCAAAGCATGCCACATCGAACTCGGCGAGTTCGATGCGCAGGTCTAAGCGCTTGCGTCGGCGCCTAAGGCGCTCGTGGACTGCAAGACCGTTCGCAATAATGTTGTTGGGCGGCATTTCGAGATGGAAATTTTTTGGCATTTTGGCAAAGCGTAGAGCGACGGGACCCGAACGGTTGTGAAGCGTTGCTGGCATGGTCAGTGCTGCTGGAAACACTGCATATGCGCATCTGTCGTCAAGTAGGTCGAGGGATGAGAGCGCAGTAGTATCGCCGACGTGTTATGTAGTACTAGTTAGCACATGTACATCGCCGAGTGGCCAGCTCAAGAAGCCACGAAAGAACTAAAAAATAAATGCAATTGCTGTCCACCGACAAGTACCGGGACGACGAAGGGTGACTTTGGCCTTGCATGTCATCATGGATCAAAAGTCTACGAGCCAAAAGTCTGTTGAACATGCACGCTTTGAGCTCGATCAGTGCTATTAATCAACTACAACAGGTGTGATGTTATGAGAACCGGTGTCTTCGAAGGTCAGAAACAAGCCAAAAGCCTACAAATTTTGTCGATAATACGCAACGACCATTCAAAGCGCGCTTCTTGTATTTATCCGCTTGCACACACGGCCTTTTGGCTAAGACATGGGGTTGCAGCATGCAGATGAACTCGTCGTCATCGGTGTACCGAACGGAGTTTTCCTTGGAATCCTCGGAGGCTTTCATATTCCATCCGGATACGGGTGGTCGTGCGCAAATTCGATTGGTCATGAATTCTCTCTGCCGCAATAGTCTTCATAAATTGCCATGGTCAAGTATGTACTGTTTTTAGGGAAAAAGCCAAGCCAGGTTTGCCTGTGAAAAAGCCTATATTTCACATAGCACACGGTGAAATTCATGCTCCATCTGGTGATATTTTCTAAAATTTGTATCTTGATTTTTGTATATGAGGCAAAGATAACATGGCGCGGTTATGCGTTGTAACTAAAAAAAGTGCGTTTTTTTACGCACTTTATCGCGATTTTTGCGTACTATGTAGGGCCGCATTTAAAAAAGACACTTGGAAACGACTAAAAGCGTACCTAATATTTATGCACGCTGCCCCCTTACAGCAAGGAACCTGCACCATCCGTCTCGAAAAAACCACGGAGTGGTTTTTTCGTAGGGATGGTGAAAATAGGTTTCCCACCGGTAATCATACCTTCTCGGCCTTTTGGCTAATGGGCAAACGGGTGTAGTTAACTTTTAACCCTAAACACTGCTTTTTCTACATAATGGTCTCATGCATACCTTGCTCTTTCTTGGCGGGTCGCGCGAACGATAAATAAGCAATGGACGCGCGCCGCTCCGTCAAGAGACTGGGGTGTGGGGGCCGAAGCCCCTGAGCCCTTCGATGTAGTTGTTGAGCAGCACCCATCTTGATCACGCGGGAAACGCGTATCGGAACGAGTCGCGGAGGTTGGCGTAAGCTGGTTGCGCGAGCAGGTGGTCGATGACTTGACGGAGCGCGTCGATCTTGTCGTCGGATGTGTTGCCGGGCCGGAGCCAGTGTCGAACGTGGGAAAGCCAGCGAACGACGGTGACGCCAAAGACGTACGTGGCTCGCGGCGGGCGGCCGTCTTCGTACTTGACGCGGTTGCGCAACGTCCAAAGTTGGTGGAACATGACCATGATGAGGCCGAGCCCCAAGGACTCGATGTGCTCCCGGGCAAACTCCCACTCGGGCAGGAGCTCCCAGTCGTCAATGACCATGCACGTGTGCCACGACAAGTTGAGGCCAAGTGTGCGCCATGGGGTGGCAT